ATCAAGACTGTAAGACCCCAGAGGAACGACATTTTACGCAGATCTCTTGTTTTCGTTAGTTTTCTGTTGCTTGTGGATTAAGACACAAACCATGCACCTTCCCAGTGATATTTAAAGGGACTTATGCGACACGTTGTACATTGCTGATTACATTGCATAAAATGCTAATGTTATCAATATAAATGTTAATTACCGCTTTACCGGCATCTGGGTGCAGGTTTTAGTCAAAAGACAAAAGAGATACACATCTAAATATTTCAATTTTCGTTTAGTTATTTGCTTTATTTTCATACATTAAGATATTTCATAATACGCATTCCATAGATAAAATGTATAATTATTCTGATGTAGGAGTATTCTTTTGAAGCACATGGTGACAGCCAGCATGCAATATTTCGTGGAATTCCACAGTTTTCTGTCTACCTGCTCACCTATTTTTTTTTTGTTTACCTGTTCACGCAACCGTTTTTTACCTGCTCACACAACTTTTGTCTACCTGCTCACACAACTTTTGTCTAGCTGTTCACACAACTTTTGTCTACCTGCTCACACAACTTTTGTCTAGCTGTTCACACAACTTTTATCTAGCTGTTCACACAACTTTTGTCTACCAGATCACACAACTTTTGTCTACCTGCTCGCAAACTTTTGTCTAACTGCCCCTATATAGTATGTCTACCTGCCCAGATATCTTACGTCTACCTTTCCCCATGTCTGATGTATGTGTCCCCCATATTATATGTTTACCTACTCACACTCCTTTTGTCTACCTACTCACACAACTTTTGTCTACTTGCTCACACAACTTTTGTCTACCTGCTCACACAACTTTTGTCTACCTGCTCACACAACTTTTGTCTACCTGCTCGCAAAACTTTTGTCTAACTGCCCTATATATTATGTCTACCTGCCCAGATATCTTACGTCTACCTTTCCCCATGTCTGATGTATATGTGTCCCCAATATCATATGTTTACCTAATCACACAACTTTTGTCTACCTGCTCACACAACTTTTGTCTACCTGCTCACACAACTTGTGTCTGCCTGATCACACAACTTTACCAGCACTTTGAATCTACTTATTATTCCGGACAGATTTTATGTATTCTATTGTAATTGAAGATACACTTGTTTCACAATGTACCTTGATCAACTATGCATATTTAGCAAGATTTTTGCGATATTGACAAAGCTGGAAAACCCAATGACTCACTTATGTAACTGTAACATCTGGGAAACTGGAGAGAGCACTGAAGCAGTAATGTAGCACCTACAGGATGGAAAGAGCACTGACGCTGTAATGTAGCACCTACAGGATGGAGAGAGCACTGACGCAGTAATGTAGCACCTACAGGATAGAGGGACCACCGACACAGTAATGTAGCACCTTCAGTAATAGAGGAAACACTGATGAAGTAATGTAGCACCTACACAAATTTTGATAACACAGACGCAGTAATGTAGCACCTACAGAATGGAGAGACCACTGATGAAGTAATGTAGCACCTACACAAATTGTGATAGCACAGACGAAGTAATATAGCACCTACAGGATGGAGAGAGAACTGATGCAGTAATGTAACACCTACAGGATGTAGAGAGAACTGATGCAGTAATGTAACACCTACAGGATGGAGAGAGAACTGATGCAGTAATGTAGCACCTACAGGACTGAAGAACACAATCACGCTGAACTACTCAACTCGAAATCCTCTCAGAGTTGACAGCTACCTCAGAAAAAATGAACGAATGGTAGAGCACATTATTACATGAAGAAAGTCCTTGAGTCGACCCAGCTTTAATGGGTACCCAAATAACGCTATTGAAAATAACGGTAGCAGGGCATAATGCTGAATGAAGTATCCTTTATCTACCTAGGACACAGAAACGGATTAATTCTACTTCACCTGCTCTGCAAGGTTCCAAATGGTAAGTTTTATAACAACTGTTTCTAAAATAATATTTCAAGAACCTTTTAAAATTATACTTTCAAAGAAATTTCAATAACGTTTTGCCTAGCAAATTTTATCGTAAATTTATCGAAAATAGTGGAGGTATAGCAATCTCTGAAACTAACTGGATATTGGGACATCAGAGTAAAAAATTGTGTCTACTGCCAAGATTTTAAATTGAAATTTTAAAGGTTTTAAAGCATATCAAAACACAATCAAGGCTGAATATGAATTGTGGGTTAGGTAGACAAAAGATATGAGGCCAGGTTGACATTAGTTATGAGGTCAGGTAGACAAAAGTTGTGCGAGTAGGTAGACAAAAGATGTGTGAGTAGGTAGACAAAAGATGTGTGAGTAGGTAGACATAGATTGTGTGAGTAGGTAGACAAAAGTTGTGTGAGCACGTAGACACAAGTTGTGTGAGTAGGTAGACAAAAGTTGTCCGAGCAGGAAAAAAGCATGACATCTTTATTTTGAAGTTAAGAATTTAATATTTTCATACACTAACTTAATGACAGTATCTTTAATTTCCAAATAAGAATGCTCTTTTGACTAATTTTTCTTTAATAGCCAGGTCAAAGTTCAAACTCTGCGTGCTAAGAGATGGCAACGAGAACAATATTCGTAACGACGAGATTGTTGTTAACTTCTCTGTTGTTGTTTAAAACATCCAGTATAAAAGTTTCGAGACTACAGATACAGTGAGCAATGTAAGTCAATTTGGTATCGGAAGAAGCACTATTCTTCAAGATATTAATTAACTAACCTATAACATTAACAAACATAACGAACTTAACTATGTCCTTGAGTTGCAAAACAACGAAAATCTAACTTTTGTAGAAATCTAGTGGTAAATTTGTCCGTAGAAAATACATTGATAACCTAATGGTAAAGCTTGCGGTGTATTTCTAATAACATTTGACCTTGGTGAAATAATTGATACCTATTTAGAAAATTATGGGACGGCGTGCCACTCTGAAAGTTTTGAGTTCGGATACCGATTGCCAGTCTGTTCATTGAAACAGATGAACTCTACTTCCTCTGCCTTTTTTGTCTTGGGCAAAAAAATTATTTAGAAACATTATTAAGAAAATGGCATTTTTAGAATTTCATTTACTAAATTTCCTTCAGGTTGTACTCGTTACTCATTACTGATCATCGCAAATAATCGTAATCAAGACGAGTACTCGGCCGTTCCCAAAGTTAACATCAGGGAAAGCTGACGGTAGGATTAAATACATGAATGCTAAGCTAGAATAGTAGGGCGAATGAGTTTTGCAGATCCTCAGAAAAATAAATGTATTTAATAGCAATTTTCGATAATGTACACCTCCCAACAGTTTCATACACGGAATATAAAGGATGCATGACAGTCGTGCTAAAATCTAAATCGTGGTTTTGACTAATTTTGACGTATTGTAACGTTCTGAAGTTGGAAAAACTTAGTTGAGGCATCCTATCCGTTTATGAGTGTCTTGTGACACTATTATGAGTTAATAACTTGAGTACCGTTTCTGTTACGTTCAGTTATATTGACCAAATTTCACATTATTATAGTAATATTATATTAAATTACTAATTTTCTATGAACTTTTGAGCGATTTCCGGGAACCAAAATTTATACGTACCCTATTTTAATGATTTCCTTAAAATAATACCACTTCTATCGACTGAATGTTTCAAACTTTTCACTTAGGTCAAGATTCGATGACAAAACACTGTGACATAAAATTTGACTTAATTAGATGTTTTATTAATTTTTCAAAAATTAAATTTAAAACTTCTTTAAAAGTGCTCACTTTCCGCTCATTTGTGCACACAATGTTTACTCTCATTAGGTGAGCAATTCTTTCTTCTACTCGATTCAATTAAAAATGTTTTCAATTAAGTATCTAAACAATTGATTAAAAACATTTCTTGCTATAGGCGGATTGCACCGATACGTTTAACCTCCTTACGGTTATATTACCCTATTCAAGAAAGTTTAGGGGAGATCACTCCGGTTTAATGTGTTTGTTTACGAAATTCGTTTTACGAGAGTAATCTTTTGTAAACTTTTGAATTGATAGGAATAATTCAACTTTAGTTTTAAGCTGTTCTTGTTACAATTGAGAATTTGTTTAAAGCTAGGCCATAGAATATGTTATTTGTTAGACACGATGTGTGTGTGTTTGCCTATGTGATAAGTAAGTGTTTTATGTTTGTGTGAGTTTCTAGGGCATGTGAGAGTGTGTTTTAGGTTAGAAATGAAAGTAAAAAGCAATTATTATTATTATTAATTGATTACAAAATTATTCCTACAGGTTCCCTTTCCCACCGTACCTAAACGAAGTCGAGGACAAAGTTTCATGCAAGTAAAATGTGTCTAAAACCTTTGTCTCAATAAATGATCTTTGGAAATCGTTTTATTGTTGTTATATTTACTTTGTTGTGTCAGTAAAATGTTAAAAATATTTTTAAAAACACAGCCGCATTTACTTTCCTATTGCGAGTAAGGTACCCATCAAAGCTGGGTAGACTCAAGGACTTCCTATAGACTGGAGCCAAGGATACGATATATATCATTTGACCTCGCTTTTTCTTTAAAATGTGCACTGTTTGTTAACAACTTTGATGTTGCCTGTTCTCAGTTTTACTCTCAACAGCACCACACCAAAAAAAGGACTCGTAAAGAGAATACAATTTTAAATCTTTTAATCAATCAAAACTGCTGAATTGACAGGTAAGCGAAAAATATGATTGGAACAAGGTTCAACAGAAATAACTGACATCCTTATTTGCAAATTATAAATTCACATTACTGATGTTAAGATTTATTGAAAAAATACTCTTTATTTTTAGGGTAATGAAATTTACCTTATTCAAGAATTATTAAAACTCAAACAAGTTTTTATTTAAGATTGGTTTACCTTTCTTTTACTAGACATGTTTTTGATTAGTAGTTGTCATTTCTAGTGTGCTGTAAAAATATTAAATTAAAAAATTAATAGACCACTTCTACAAACTCTCTACATAAATTTTTCGAAACCTCAAAGACTTGATTCTCAATCAGGCCCTCCATAAATAAATATTACTCGCAGAAACTATTGTCTTCGACTGCCTTCAGGTACGATGGAAAAGGATACCTGCAAATAAAAACAACAGTATCATCAATTATAATTTCCTAGTTAATTACTTTTATTTTGCTATGCATAATGTCAGGCCGCACAAATTAAATTCACCTATTCACCTACTTTAAAATTTAAGAGTTTTAGAAATAAAGGATCGGTATTAAAGACGTTCGTTCTCTTTTATTCTAGAAATGTGATTCTCAAACTGGGCGATATATACCCACTCCCCCCCCCCCCCCCCCCGTGACAGTAGAAAATTTGTATTCTAACAAGGGGACGTTGAGTACCCCCCAAAAAGGGGGGTTGGGATAGGGAAGGATTCAAGAATAAATACGATGTATCAGTGCGAGATAAAGAAAAAGTGTAGATCACTCAAATGTGTATTAGCATTTCATTTAAATAATAATAAAAATTCGGATACAATATAGTGTCTATAACACAAAAAATGTATGTTTTTATTGACATCGTTTTCTATAGGAAAAATTCGACTCCTGTTTCTAGTATTTAAACTTGAATTGAATACCAACTGCTAAATTATGCGATTTTGAGCTCTCACAGAAGTTTTTTTATCATAACGTGCAGCGACGATTTAGTGCAGTCACTAATATTTGACGAAAAAATAAATTTCAAATGACTTATCGACATTTGAAAGCTGCTGGAAAAATCGAACCATTTATTCACACTTTGATCGCTTCACCCGAGATTCAATTTTTCTCATGAGTATTGTTTTCACGCTATTTTAATTTGTGTTTTCATTTTATAAACTTATGTGCATATAATATAAATGTTCATGTTGATTGCATTGATTAAATCATTTAACTTTCGTGTGTTATTTTTATTCACTATGTGGACCAATTAGTAGTAGATAGAGATATAAAGAAAGAAAAGCATACATTTATCGCTCCGTGTCTCTATTCAATCAGTAACAGATTTCCGTAAACATTAGGAGGCTTGTGGGGGAAGTATTTTTAACAAAGTGGACTGTAGGCCAAACAAGTTTGGGAAATAGTTGGCAATAATATGAATTTCTCTAGTTCCTTTAATTTGACCCACATGTAGTCTATAGTGCCACCGATAAAAAAAAATATTTGTTGCTCTAATATTGTTTTTAATCACACGACCGTCTTACCTTGATCCTTCTCTGGTCAAAGGTACAGGTGATGTAGTGTAATCAAGATGTTTAGGGCTACTAATGATGGCCGTGAGAGAGTTGCAAAACCAGGTCAGATGGTACTTTGGAAAAACCTGGATAAAGATAGTCGTTTGTTTTCTGTAAGTCCACAACTTTAAATGTATTTTTAAGGCATATTTTATACATTTTTACGACATAAATGTTAATTATTGCGGTTGCGATATAATATTTGTTGTATGAAATTTTACAACTTTATATTCATGTTTATCCTATTATTTTAAATCCGACATAAGATTTAACTATTAAGGTTGCAACATAGATTCTGTTATACGAAGTTTTACAACTTTACATTCATGTTTTCTTCTGCAGGCTAACATCGATTTGGGCAAATAGTTTCGGGCTAACATCCGGCTCTCAATCTTGGCTAACATGTTGACCACTTCTTTACGAACAAGAGACAACAATTCAAAACTTTAGCTGTTTGGAAATATTCATTACATATTATCTTTTAAAGATTGTTACTTCCTAAACTAAAACCTTATATCCAAATAACTTTACCCCATTATCGAGGACTTTACAATCTGGCCAGAGTGCTGTAAATGAGTTAGCTCCCTTACGAGTGAACTGGATTCTACACGCGTCAGTTGTGGTCAAGTCATTTGAAGTCAGCTTCTTGACTTGGTCAATGGTGAAAGGCTTGGACCTGTTTGGGTTAAAGTGCCGTAAATCACATTCAAATATCTACAAATTAAAAGCACTAAATCATCAAGAAGTGGGGTTATTTAAATACTTGAATTTAGCAAATTATTTAATACATTCATAAAAACATATAACCCGAATCATCAGGTATAATTAAATACAAATACCTTTAAAATATTAGATTTAACGATACGGTTGTTCTATAAATAACTCAAATTAAACACGAGTGAAACTCTTTTACAGATTATATCATTAAAGTGAATGTTTAAAGTAAATATAACCTACAGATCGTTAGGAGGGGTTGTGATGTTGTAAGGTTGTGCAAAAATCTGCCCTTTTTGTTCATTAAAAACCAGAATCAAACGGCGGTACAGATTGTTTTCAACATATTTCTCGTAGAAGAATGTCACTGCCTGCAAAATAGAAAGGAGAGAAAAATATGTCTTCGATTCAGAACGGAAACCATGGGTTGGGAAATGAAGGCATTTCGTTGTTGATTCAGCTTTTGTTTTAAGTTTTGTTTTTTTTATCAGCAAAAAAAAGGCACAAAACTTCAAAGATGTTGGGTAAAATTTGTTGTCTCAAGCTATACACTTTGAAAACGGATTAAAACAAGACTATATGATTTAGACAAAAAACTTTTTAGTTTTATAAAATTACCAAAATAACATGCTAAGTTTAAAATGTAATTAATTTATTTGAAATTGTCTAACATAATAGACATAAGAGAATATATAAAAATTGTAATAGACAGTTCGTGTAACACACATCACACACACAATGAGGGCACACAAGGTTAAAGGAACGTGAGCAGACCAAACTCCATGCCTTGTGAGGTTGGTAATGCTCTTGTTTTCTTAACCCTAAAATCATCAGTTCGATCATACCCCCTCACCATCACCGCACCCTTTTCAAGCAGATGGAGCCCGATGGCTGGGGACCGCAACCCATCTAGGAGAGTAAACTCCAAAATCAAACAACTGCTGCTTTGTAGTTTGTTCTTGGTTGGACAAAGGCTATGGAAGGATATACTTAAAGAAAATCAGGCTAAAATCAAAGTCAACGGGCCATATGGCGCATAACTAGTTGACACATAATACTTAACTGTGTTGTAGAGAATCCTTTCAATCACTAAAAATAAGAACAAGGAAGAAGAAAAAGTTCGGAACAGCGAGACAGTTGTTAAATTATATGCTTAAAAAATAACCAGTAGAAACGGTTCAAGAAAATCTTTTCCAGCATTACAATTTAAAACTAAAAGCAGAAGACCAAAATCCTTAGACTTGTAAAGAACACTACCAGTCAGAATAACAAACATTTAATATAAAACAAACACCTACCGGTGCAAGTGCTGGGATCTCTACTGGTGTGGCCGTCACGTACAAAAGTTTTGGTACGTCAACTTTCGGTTTTTTGATGTTCTTGTACGCTTCAACGACAGGTCGGTCAGAAAATTTCCCGTTGAAAACGTAGAGAAGTTTCAAAAAGGCTTCAGAGTATTCTAGAGGACAAAGATATATTTTATAACTGATTTCTATTGACGAAGAAAAAGCTGGATTTTTTAAATACATAAAACACTGCATTTACAATGGCCACAGGAATAGTACAAATGTCTGGAACAATAAACTTCACAATAAATACGTATATGTGTTCAGAGTATTCTAGAAGATAATGATATATCATTTTTATAACTGATTTCTAATAATGAAGTTTTTTTTTAATATACTTAATACAGCTTATACAACATCTGACATGTTAGAAAAACAAACTACGCAATAATTACGTATCTATGTTCCGATAAAATTAACTTGTTGCGAAGTTATTTTATCGATACATGTATTGTATACACGTCGCAGGTGTAAAGGCGGTGTAAGGAATTTATTTCTAACACAACTGTCCTACACTCACTATTCCGAAAATGTTTTTGAAATTGTACACAACTACCTCGAGTTTCCATACCTTTGTCGTCTGCTGTACTGGTTGTGCAAGACATCAGCATCAAGACTGTAAGACCCCAGAGGAACGCCATTCTTCGCAGATCTCTTGTTTTTCGTTAGTTTTCTGCTGCTTGTGAAGTAAGACACAATCCATGCACCTTTCCAGTGATATTTAAAGGAACTTTTGCGTCACGTTGTACATTGCTGATTACATGACATAAAAGATATGCTAATGTTATCAATGTATAAATGTTAATTACCGCTTTATCAGCATCTGGGTGCTGGTTTTGGTCAAAACACAAAAGACAAAAGAGATACACATCAAACATTACAATTTTCGTTTAAATATTTGCTTCATTTTCATACATTAAAATATTTCATAATACACATTCTATAGATAAAAGTTTATATTTATTTTCGTTGGAGTATTTTGAAGCACCTGTTGACACCCAGCTTGCATTATTCCGAGGAAGTTTAACAAATTTCTGTTTATCTACTCACACAACGTTTGTCTATCTACCCACACAATTTTCTCTACCTACTCACACAACTTTTGTCTAGCTGCTCACATAACTTTTGTCTAACTGCTAACATAAATTGTGTCTACCTTCTCAAACAACGTTTGTCTATCTACCCACACAACGTTTCTCTGCCTGCTCACACAATTTTTCTCTAACTAGTAACTCATTTTGTCTACCTGCTCACACAACTTTTGTTTACCTACTCACACAACTTTTGTTACCTACTCACACATCTTTTGTTTACCTACTCACACAACTTTTGTTTACCTACTCACACAACTTTTGTCTACCTACTTACACAACGTTTATCTAACTGTTCATATTTTTTGGTCTTCTAACACAATTCTATCTTCTTAGACATCTTGTGTCTGCTTGCTAACAAAACTTTTCTCTACATGGTCACAGAACTTTTCTCTACATGCTCACACAACTTTTGTCTACCTGCTCACACAACGTTTTCTATCTACCCACACAACTTTTCTCTACATGCTCACACAACTTTTGTCCACCTGCTCACACAATTTTCGTCTACCTGCTCACACAACTTTTGTCTTCCTGCTCACACAACTTTTGTCTACCTGCTCACACAACTTTTGTCTACCTACTCAAGCAACTTTTGTCTACCTGGCCAAACAACTTTTGTCTACTTGCTCACAGAACGTTTGTCTACCAACTCACACAACTTTACCATCACCTTGAATGTACTTATTATTCCAGACATATTTAATGTATCCTATTGTCATTGAAGATACACTTGTCTGCTGTTTTACAATTCACTTTGACTAACCATGTATGCATATTTAGCATGCTTTTAGCAATATTTACAATGATGGAAAAGCCAATGACTCACTTTTGTAACTGTAACATCTGGGGAGTAGGAGAGATCATTCGCGCAGTAATGTAGCGCCTACAGGATGGAGAGATCAATAACGTAGTAATGTAACACTTACAGTATTGAGAGACCACTCATGCATTATAGTAGCAGCTACAGGGGTGAATAACACACTGACGCTGAAATACTCAAGTCGAAGTCCTCTCAGAGTTGACAGCTACCTCAGAAAAAATGAACGAATGGTAGAGCACATTATTACATGAAGAAAGTCCTTGAGTCGACCCAGCTTTAATGGGTACCCAAATAACGCTATTGAAAATAACGGTAGCAGGGCATAATGCTGAATGAAGTATCCTTTATCTACCTAGGACACAGAAACGGATTAATTCTACTTCACCTGCTCCGCAAGGTTCTAAATGGTAAGTTTTATAACAAATGTTTCTAAAATAATATTTCAAGAACCTTTAAAATTATACTTTCAAAGAAATTTCAATAACGTTTTGCCGACTAGCAAATTTTATCGTAAATTAATCTAAAATAGTGGAGGTATAGCAATCTCTGAAACTAAGTGGATATTGGGACATCAGAGTAAAAGATAGTGTCTTCTGCCAAGATTTTAAATTGAAATTTTAATGGTTTTAAAACATATTAAAACACAACCAAGGCTGAATATGAAATGTGGGCAGGTGGACATGATATGGGGGACACGTATACATCAGAAACGGGGAAAGGTAGACGTAAGATATCTGGGCAGGTAGACAAAAGATATCTGGGTAGGTAGACATTAGTTATGGGGGCAGGTCAGTAGCGTACGCAGGGCGGAAGCAGGGGGAGCGGCCGCTCCCCCTCTGACCATTTTCAGCAAAGTGGCGCCTTTTTGGAAACTTTTTAAACTCAAAGTTTTAAACAATATTTGTTAAAAAAATATTTTTGGTCGGCACATCTATGTAAATCACTAGATTTCTTTTCATGCAGCAATTAAGCATTATTGTACTAGTCTAGTAGTGTCTACGTTTACAACACGTATTAACAGCTGCACCAGTTTGTCATTCTAAAAATAACCATTACGATGCATTGCAATTTTAATAAAAACCTCTGCGGGTAGTACCACTTGAAAAGAGGGACGTTAAGTTTAAGGCAACTGTATAATGTATTTGCTTAAGAATAATTGAATTAGAAAATAGTATACATACATCTTCACAAATAATTACTTTATATATATACAGTTTGAATCGTGTAATTTATTTTTTTAATTACAATAGAGACACAAATACAACTGATGTGTCACCTCTATTTAAATTTACTTATAGGCAAACTGCGTAGCGGTGGGGAAATTTTGACAAGGTCAACAACGTTATCACGATGAAGTAGTAATATTCTTACAGTTTGGGCGATAGTGATTACGATTACAAATTATATGAAACAGTTACAACCCCCTCCCCCCCCCCCATGGACCCTTCTGTACAAAAATATTGTCATTAATACCACTGCTACATATTTAAATCTATTTCTGAATCAGTATATATGTGTAATTGAATATGTATGTTTAAAACAGTCATCTAAAAACTGACGCTATGTTCACTCTGAGTTGGTTATCCCACCCACACACCCCACCCCTAACCCACACACACACTCCTCACCACCACTATTGTGTAGAGCGACATTAATGTCACACCTAGGTATACACTGGGTTAGATAATTGACCTAAAGTGACCGGAGTGGTGAATGAAGTTGAACACCCCCCCCCCCCCCCGCTACACACCCTGAACTAATCTGTTAAGGGGATATGCTATGTTTTTTTCTATTTTTTACAATTTAAGATCTAAAGCTTTTTGAATACTTTTATCATATTTGGCATATAAAAGTAATTATTAAACAGCAAAAAAAAAGGGTCGAAAACAATTTTGGTTGTCATGGAAACCCAAAAAACCTCCGCCATTTTGATTTTTTTGGTTCTTTTAAAAATACTAAGGCTTTTTTATTCATGCACCTATAGCAATCAAATTTAAACTGCTTATATTTCAGTATATATTAAAACTTTTGTCACGACAACTTTTTGAAATAAATACTAGTAAGAATTTTACAAGGTCTAAAAAATCGTACCCTTTTTAGTATTCAAAAGTTTCAAAATGTGCATATTAATTACCAAATACTTTTTTTCTATGAAAGCAATCACAATTCCCTCGTGACAAAAGTTGTATTTTCGCATCAAGAACATTTACTGAAAATATGGTTGGCATTGTTTAATAAATAAAAAAGTAGTAGGCTTTTTAGTGTTAAAAACCTGCGAACTGAGAAAAACAGCCAAAAGCAACGAAAACTAGGTCAGGAAAGTACCATATCTGTGTAAACTGCAAAGCCGATTGTAAGCTTTGGGTGTTTCCGAGATGTATGAAATTAAGTTTATTAGATACATGAGAAATCCAGCTTTCCAATGATGTCAAATACAATATAATGACGGATATAAAACTTTTCATAGAGAGCTTCTAAGATTGGCAAAAAGTGATTATTTTTTAATTAATAGGGTCATAAAAATCATAATTCAAACACATAAAATATTTTTTTCTCTTTGAAGTCATTATTTTCTTTATACAAAAATGGACAAAGTATCCAAAAGTGCAAGAAACCCATCATGATGAAAAACAAGAAATTTTGTGATTTTTTTCTGCGCATATCCCCTTAAGTACATTCGGGAAAACGCGTAACGATGTACCAAAGAACCATGCCGCCAGAATCATAGGTTTTGATACAGGTAAAACTCTGTGAATATTGTTTTTGCAATTACCAGTAAAAAGGTGTGTGATGAATACAGTGACCTAACCCATACCTGATCACTATGTTAAAAAATGATCTTTAAAGAACACAAAAAAGCAGTAGTTAATTAAAAGATGTATGATCTGAGATAAAAGACCGCTGGTTTAGGTAAATGTAACCTATTATTCCGAATGCTTTTCTATAATATTTTAAAGCTTGTTTTTATACCAACTCTGATTTTAAAAACTTTTATTATGCTGTAATACTTCAGCATTTATGATGACGATATATTTAATTCTGATTATAGACACAAATATTTTGTAAACACGAATACTGTTAAAAATTTTTATTACATTCTAAAGTAATTATTTATTTGTTTTGACATTTATAATTGAATATGTAGATATATACATATGTATATTAATAGAGTGATTATTTCCACTATTTCGCTTGTCCCAGGAATTATTATGTAAACAATTTTTTACAAGAATTACAAAACAGATTGTGTTGCGTTTATTGTTTTTGGTTGTAGTGTGCAACCACACATCTCCAGCGGACTCGGCTTTGGGCTGCTCCTCCAATATGTGCCCACGAGAGCCCATATAACTTCTTTAGATTGATACATTTATTGTTTTGTCGGCCTATATTGTGTGTTTTTTTTTTAATTCTTCAAGTGCTATTTACAATTATTTACACACAGCTAGTAATATTATATATATATATATATATATATATATATATATATATATATATATATATAGATATATATAAATATAAATATACATATATATATATATATATATATATATATATATATATATATATAGATATAGATATATATATATATATATAATACGCCTATATATAACGTGTTAAAAATTCGGCGCCTTTTTTTGCACATTTCGCTCCCCCTACAACGAAAACCTGGATACGCCTCTGGGGAAGGTAGACAAAGGTTGTGTGAGTAGGTATATCAAAATTTTGTGGGTAGCTAGACAAACGTTGTGTGAGCATGTAGACAAAAG